GTGGGGAAATTGTCTGGGAGGCAAATGTAGAATACCAATTTAAAATTAATGCCGCCAGAACATAAAATTATATGTAAAACAATTCACAGCATTATAAGAAAATATCAACGAAGAATGATATTCAGAATATATAATTATACTGTCACATATTCAACCAAGTTTTATTCAGATCTGTAGGAGCTTAATTATTCTGCTTTACCCATAACCTGCTTTATGACACACCCATGCGGATTTTGTGACTTCGTAAAAATGGTATAACACGACTGTGCATATATTTTGACGTGACGTCATTTACGTTATATACCGGTAAACATACTGTTAAGACGCGTTAAATGTTAACCTCATACTATAGGCAAGTCAATGAAAAATGGTTCTTTTTCACTTCAAATAGTCTTTGTTTTGGAATGTGATCAATTGAATATTAAGTTTGTGTAAGTACACTACTGAATTTATTGAACTTGTTGAATATACATTCCGAGCTCAAACAGGGTGCAGAAAGGAACAGCCAACTATGAAAGTCGGCAGCGGAAAAATTCTCCGCTTAAAAATTAGAATGAGTGAACTCCCTTCCGTTGTCATTTTAGAATAGAAATAACATCCGCCTGAAAGGACTGTTTATTGGCTACGGCCTTCGTGGTCAATTCCTACGCATCAAAACTCCAAACTGGTGTTAAACAGCTCTCAGGCAGGTGTTTTTTCTTAAATATAATGCTTGCTAAGGCTAGCATAATATAATTTTATTCAACTCATTTAATAAATTCAGTATTAAACTTACACTCACTCAATATCCTCTATGAATTAGTGTAGTGGATTTGCCCAACTTTGAATTTGGAACAGTCCATTCAAAGTTTAAGGGATTTCAATTTATTACCAAAATATTCATACATGTGAACTCTCCCACTTTTAGCGGGAAACTCCCACCTTCTGCAGTCATATTTTAAAAGATTTTTCTAAAAATAAGGGTTTTTTTTTCACAAATTAAAGAAATCTTCCTATTTTTGATGACAGAACTTCCTTCTTTGTTTATTGCAAATTATAAAATCTCCCTCTTTTTGAAGAAAAATCTCCCACTTGATCATCAAAAAAAGTGCACATGTATGAATATTTAGCTACCCACAGTATAAACCTTGGTCAGACTTTATGGATGAACAGGCTGGCTGGGTTCTGTACTGATGGCAAAGGTTTTCCACTTTTCGTCCCAACAGGTTATGGGTTACTTATAACACAAATTTTAAAACATGAAGAAGGATGTTATACATGGTATTAACAAGTTTCATAGAACGAGACAACAAAGTTTATTATTACAATTTCTAGAAGTATAAGTAAGTTATTAAGTAAGTGTTTCTATATTTTATCACATATCTGTGCCGCTTTTCCGACAGTAATAGTATTGCATTATTATAATATCATTTGCTTGTAAAACATTATAGTTAAAAGATGCACTAAAATGTTTGTATTACACAGTGTAAGCACAACAATGCATGAGCGATTCTTTTTTACTAAAAACAATAGTAATTTTGGATATGTGATAAACAGAATATCATTTCGTTTAGCTTTACTAAGTTTATTGAACTTGAATAAAATAATATTTTTGCTCGCCAGAGGCCCACATTATATAATTTTATTCAACCTGTTTAATAAAGTCAGTATCGAACCATCACTCCTTCAATAATATCCTCTCTATAAATATATATATCTGTTTCTTAGGAAAACTTTACTGACTTAACTATAAAAACAGCATTGTTTTGTTGATTTTTTAAAAAACATATCAATTCAATCCCTGAGAATAATTTAAAAAAGCCTGTATCCTTATTTGCTTTCCAAACAAAGGAGTAACTGAAATAAGAATGTTCACATTTGAAAGCAACTGAACAAGGTCACTCAGTCTTGGTAATGGGTTGTGATAAACTATTAGAATGTGTCCTTTTTGTATAAAGCTACATGTATATATCCTCAGTTTAGAGCAGTAACAGGTTAACTCCTATTAAAATTTGATAGGAGTTAAGTTAATCTAAGTCTAAGTTATCTACTGCTCGAATATAATGCAAGTATTGTTTGAATTTTTAAACAAAAATACGTTTTCCAAAATTCCTGCACAAAAGTAATTTACTTAATATTTCCCTAAGAGGGAATGTTGCATTCCCCAAATTGTTGCTAAATGGCTAAGACCATACTTGTAATAGCAGAGTAACATTTTGTTCCGCAACATTTTATTCTGTTTACATAAAATATTCATGCATGATAAATTACAGAGACATTTTTTTGCTACAGCTCTTTCGATTATCAACCAAAAGATCATGAAAACAATATAAATTTACAGTTAATAAATTTTATAAAAATATATATCATTAGATATATATGTAGCTTTATACCCTTTAAAGATGTACTACCTGATTTAATCATTTTCTCACACCTCATTAGCCAGCAATCAATTTTTTTATTAAAAGTTATCATTTTAAAGGTACATTACTATACCTGTGAACTCTCCTACTTTTGGCAGAAGACTCCCACTTTCTGCGACCAGATTTTCAAAGATTTTTCTTAGAATAAGGGGTATTTTCACAAATTAAAGAAATCTCCCCCTTTTTGATGTCAGAACTTTCTTTGTTTATTGCAAATTCTAAAATTCTCCCTCTTTTTGAAGAAAAATCTCCCATTTGATCATCAAAAAAAAAAATTCACATGTATGCATTACGCCTCAGAAACAAAAAATATTTCTTTTTACTTCTTCATAAAAAGGCAAGCATGAATTATATAATATTTAAATAGCAGTTTTAGAGAATTCAATGTTAGATGCTTGTTACCTGAAGAAATAGCAATAGATATGAAATAATTTGAGGTAAAAGTAGCAAAATATAAACAAAGTAGTAATTTGACTTACATACAAAATGCTTATTCACTATTACTGTACTTGCAATAATATTTCCAAAAAGCAACATATGAAAACAGATGGTTCTGGTAATTGGCCAATGAGTAATTTTTTGGATACTATAGAGTACACCAAAATTAAAAAGCTTTTGAGAAATAAAATAAAACAATACTTTTAATGAAGCAAATTTGTGACCATGATGATTTTTAAACATACATGTACATTATCATGTATGACGCCACACAATTATATGTTGAAACTTTTTATATGTAGCTTTATTATGACATTTATATAAAAAGAATCTGTCATTTTGTTAATACATAATTGTATTTACAAACATTTCAAAACTTCTATTTTATAAAGCTAACCTCAGACAACCACTGAGCTCAATATGGTGAGCATCAGATTCAATGGTACGAGACAATGGAAGAAAAAACATTTAATATTTAATACTCCTTACATATTTCATAAAATCAAAGTTATAAACACAGAATCTGATAATAATACTGTTTAACTTCTCATTACAAATCTTTGATATCTTTCAAATGCAATTATTAGATATGAGGAAATACAAGGGAGGAAGACCTCAGGTGCACTTCCGTGCATTACTTCAGGCACAAACAGGCACCTGAGTAGCTAGCTGGATAGCTTGCTCACATGAAAGAATCCAAAGTCCCTATCAAGATTCGATTGTACAGCAACGAGGGGCAAGTGGTTTAAAGTCAACGACCTTACCCACTCGGCCACAGACACCCCTAATCGGTAGTGAAAAAGTTGTATACAAAAGAATCATGAATAGATAACAACATAGAATAGTTCATTTTTCATTGAAACGATAATCTAATACAGAACTAAAATATTCTACCCTAATTTCTGTTACTACGAATGAATTTGTAAATCCTTATGCTTCTATTAAAAAAATAAAAGTACATTCGTATTAGTTTTTGATAGTTCTATTTAACTTTAAATACCAATTGTAATATGCAAGATTAAGAGTTGAACACTGTCTGGTGTTATTGACCGGAATATCCAGCTCTCTGTATCTGTATCCCACACGGTCAATAGAGCATTATATTTGCCTTTAAGTGCTACCCCACTAGCCAGATATTATGGTTTGTACTGGCAGCCAGTGAAAGATTCTTATATAACTTTTTGTCAGCAATCTACTTAGAAATTACCGTAGTCTATGAAAAAAAAAAAAAATTCTATATCTATAAATCTGAAATTTCTATATTGATTCAAATAACTCTATATGAATTGAGTTCTCTCTATAATGATTTAGTTTATTATTGATTCATATAGCTCTATAATGATTCAGATAACCACTTCTTCATTAAGTTCATTCAGTTAAATTTATAATGATTTAGATAACACTTCAATTAACTCTACAATTATTCAGTTAACTCTTAATTGCTTAAGTTAACTCTATACTGATTAAGTTAACTTTATTGATTCAGGTCTCTATATTGATTCAATTTACTCTTTATTGATTCAGTTAACTCTATTTATTCAATTAACACTTTAATGATTCAATTAATTATATACCTATTCAGTTTACTCTTTATTGATTCAGTTAACTCTATTTATTCAATTAACACTTTAATGATTCAATTAATTATATAGCTATTCAGTTTACTCTTTATTGATTCAGTTAACTCTATTCAATTATCACTTTAATGATTCAGTTAATTAAATATTGATTCAGTTTACTCTTTATTGATTCAGTTAACTCTATTTATTCAATTAACACTTTAATGATTCAATTAATTATATACCTATTCAGTTTACTCTGTATTGATTCAGACAACTCTATAATGATTCAGATAATCACATCTTCATTCAGTTAACTCTATTTTGATTCAGTTAACTCTATTGATTCAGTTAAAGTGACATTCTGCTCATTTTTTCATAGTCAAGTTGAGCTGAATTGATTTGATATTTTAAAAGATTAACTGTTAAAAATGGTGTTTGACCAACAGTTGATATTGGAAAACGTTCAGGATAGAATGATAAATCTGCCTAAAATATAAAAAGACTGCCCCACTCTTTTTATAAAATGAGCGCTAGAGGTAAATTCTAAAAGATATTTACGGAAATTTTATTTGGATCTGTCCATCAATTATTATTATTTATTATTATCATTATTTATTGTTTATGGGAAGTAAATTATTAAATTAAAAGGAATAATATAGCAAAATGAAAACTTATTTTGATATTCATCTGTTCGCTCCCTACATACCCTTGGATGGGCATAATGTCACTTTAACTCTATTGATTCAGATAACTCTATTCATTCAATGAACTATTCATTTAGGTGACTCTTAATTGATTCAATCTACTCTATTGATTCAGTTAATTCTATAATGATTCAGTTAACTCTCATTTACATTTACACACAGGAAAATAATGCATACCTATCACAGTCTTACCCTTTATCTACTGAATTTGACAAATGGACTTGTCAAGCTCCCATTTCTGGAAGTATCCATTATCAATTTTGGGGATATCAAGATGGAAAGTTGGTCCATTGACAGTATAGAGCCTGGTTAGACAGCACAGGGGTCCAGGCTGGCCTGGATCTATACTGGTGACCGAAGCTCAGATCACTTTTGGATTCAGTACATAAAGGGTTTAGTTTTTCTTTCAAAGGAAAAAATATTTATGTTTATTTCCTGTCTGTTGTAAGAAGTTGTAAAAACAAAAATATAGTATACCACACTAACACACATTACAAACCAGTGCTTTAACTTGTAAATTAAGACCAAAACTGCAAAACTACATCCTTTGTCCAACATGAAAATGATGATAAAAGTACCAGGAATGTCTATATAAAGATCACATTTTCAAGAACGCCTGATTAGTCATTGCGTGACCTAAATCAGATATGACTTGTCAAAGATAGATTGATAAAACATTTGCTACAAAATTCACGAGATTCACCAAAATAACTATTGCTTGACCGTCATTATAATACATCAATGTCTTCTCTGTCCACAGACACACTTCTTTCAAACCCCTCCCTTGTAATATCCACCTCAGGCTCTGGCAGGAATGGAATAAACTTTAGCCACTTGGATCTTCTCATCTCTTTTGGCATTGGTGGAATATATAGTTCTGAAGTTTCGATATAGTCTGACTTGTCATTATAATCGGGCTTGCTCCATGCAAGAATTCCTCTCTCCTCTTTGGTCCCTATTATAAAAACATACAAGTTTTTCATTATCTTGGAAAGTTAAACATACAGATGATTGAAATTTCATTCAATCAAGAAAAAGATACATATAATCTTTAATCACGAACTTTAATTAAAACCTGTAATGCAATGCAAGAATTATCACCAATTTCTATGCATAAAATTATTGAGATGCAAATTTAGCAATATCATGTAAGTCAACTCATAATATCACTTTGGTTATACATATTCTTATAAGCCCGACACCTATTTTACTAGTGTAATTTCAAATTTTGCCAAATCTTTGGGACTATTGTTACACTAGCCAACTACAGTTCCTGAATTAACCAGTACTGTTTGAATAATCTAAATAATCATTCTCCAAGTTGATATATTAAATTATTTTGTACATGTATTCTATTTTAAAGGAACTATTTATGCATCCAAAAGGGAGATTTTGACCAAAAAAAGTTATCGTAGATTCTGCTAGGGATTTCAAATTAATTTAACAAAAAATACTAGGTAGTGTTGTATAAAAATGCATAGCCAAGAGTCACAACCCTGAAAGGCAAATTTTACTTCCGCTCAAATATTTTTGATAATTTTATCGTTTTTAAATCTTATAAAGAACTTTTATTGATTTTAATTATTATAAATCAAGAATGGAACTTGCAAGAACTGTAATCACCATGATGTTATGTGTACTACACTTGTGTAGAGCGGTAAGCGAGGACAATTTGTGCGGTGTGTATGTTACCCCACCCACTCATAACTGTTACAGGATCGGAACAGCTGGTCAAGTTACTTTCTACCAGAACTTTATTAGCACATATTTAGAATCAGATAAGAAACATTTACAACCACACAGCTATAGTGCGAGTAGCAAAGATGTTCTACCTGTTTGTCTCTTACTTTGCGGAGATATTCACCCATGTCCTGGGCCAACAGAGACAAACTCTGAATCTTTTCAACACTTTCGTAAAAGAGGTCTTCACTTCATACACTTAAACATTAGAAGTATTCTTCCTAAAATTGATGAATTAAGGGATATAGCAATGAAAACTAGGGCTGCGGTGATTGGTATTACTGAAACCTGGCTGGATGAGTTCGTTTTTGAGTCTGAAATAAACATTCCTGGCTACTCTGTTGTTAGACGTGACAGAAATAGAGAGGGAGGAGGTGTCTGCATTTTTATACGTAATAACTTGATTTTTAATAACAGAAATGATTTACTCACTGATGAAATGGAAGCCCTTTGGATTGAGATTTTACTACCACACTCGAAACCTATTTTATGTGGCGTTATATACAGACCGCCAAAACAATTAACATTCTACACTTTATTTGAGTCTGTGATGTCATCTTTTTCGGAGTTTTCGGAATTTGAAACTATCATCCTTGGGGATTTTAATACTGATGTTTTAAACCGTTCAAGTACTTGTGTTTTAGTGAAATCATTAAATACTATTTTAAGTTTTATGAATTACACCCAGTTAATCTCAGAACCAACAAGATGCACTGTTACATCAGCAACAGCAATTGATTTGATATTAGTATCCGACAACAGCAGGATCTCACAAAGTGGTGTAGTACCTATTGGAATTAGTGACCATTATTTAACCTTTTGTACAAGGAAATTAAGGAGCCTTGACAAAGATTCTACTGATCATAATACAGTAAATTTACGTTCAATGAAAAATTACAGCAAAGTTATTTTCCAGGAAAAATTATCAACTCTTGACTGGATGTCTATTCTATATTGTGATGATGTTATCAAAGCATGGTCTATTTTTAAAAAAATATTTTTGAGTGTTATTGATGAAATTGCTCCAGTGAAGCAAACACGCATGAAAACTCGAACAGAACCTTGGATGAGCAGTGATTTACTTGATTTGATTCAACAGAGAGATAAACTTTGTGAAAAATTAAAAAAATCCCGTAGTGAAGAAGATTTCATACTTTATAAACTAATTAGAAATCAAGTGCAATATCAAATAAAAATGTGTAAAACTGATTTTATCAAACAAAATATTGAAGACCACAGGACTGACTCGAAAAAGTTATGGAAAACATTAAAAGGTTTAGGTGTACCATCAAAAAAAGACTCTTCGTCTTCAAATATAGGTTTAAACATCAATAATAGTTTATGTTTTGATAAATTTTGTGTTGCTGAAAAATTTAATGAATTTTTTACGACTGTTGCTCAAAAGTTAGTTGAAAAACTTCCTACTAGTATGAATAATTTTGGAAGAAACTTTATATTATATTTTTATAGTAAAAAGGGTGTTGTACGTAACAGTTTTTCTTTATCTGTTGTTACTAAGGGAACTGTAATTAAGTACTTAAATAAACTAGGGGCCAATAAAGCTACAGGCTTGGATGGTATACCTGCGCGATTTATAAAGGATAGTGTTCACAACATTGCTGAACCCCTTACTCATATACTTAATTTGTCCATTATTACTGGTATTGTTCCGGATGATCTCAAGTCTGCCCGTGTTGTTCCATTGTATAAAAAAAATAATAAGACTGAACCTGGTAATTATCGACCAGTGTCTATTTTAAGTGTAGTGTCCAAGGTCCTTGAGAGAATTATTTATGACCAAGTAGAGAGTTACTTATCAGAGAAAAACCTACTTTATACCCATCAGTCTGGTTTTAGACATAGATATTCTACTGACACTTGCCTTTTACACCTTACAGATTTCATTAAATTTGAAATGGATAAAGGTAATTATGTTGGTATGGTCCTTTTAGATTTACAAAAGGCGTTCGACACTGTCGATCATGATATTTTACTCATGAAACTTGATGCTATGGGGTTTTCTAGTGATGTTATTCACTGGTTTAGGTCTTACTTATCTAGCCGTACACAAATGGTCAATGTCTCCGGTGTACTTTCATCTAGCGCCAATGTAACTTGTGGGGTACCCCAAGGTTCGATACTTGGCCCTCTCCTATTCTTGATTTATGTTAATGATATGGAGGCTGTGGTTCGTAATAAATTGCTTCTATATGCTGATGACTCAGGTATTTTAGTATCAGGTAAAAATATCCAGTATATTACCTCTCAGCTTACTGATGATCTCAGCAGTGTGAGTAAGTGGCTCACTGATAATAAACTTTCCTTACATCTTGGAAAGACAGAGTCTATTTTATTTGCGTCTAAACCAAGACTTAGGTCATGTGATCAACTAAATATTGTATGTAATGGTACTACAATAACATCCACCAAATCTGTTAAATACTTAGGTGCTGACCTAGATCAATGTCTATCTGGTGAGTCTATAGCCAACCAGGTAATTAAGAAGGCCAATGCAAAACTTAAGTTTTTATATAGAAAAAGTTCATTTTTAAATAGGTATACGAAACAACTTTTAGTTTCTTCATTAATACAATGTCATTTCGATTATGCGTGTGCCTCCTGGTATTTAGGGTTGAGTCAAAATCTAAAAAATAGACTTCAGGCCACACAGAATAAGTTGGTGAGATTTATACTTAATCTCAGTCCCCGTACTCATATAGGGAGGGCTCATTTTGAGGAAGTTGGTTGGTTACCAGTACATCTGAGGGTACATTTCCTTATTCTTGGTCATGTACATAAGATACATAACAATAGTGCACCTAGTTATTTAAATGAGCATTTTCAAATTGCAAATGAGGTACATTCTTACTCCACTCGATTTAGAGATAGTAACAGTTATTCTATTCCAAGAGTTAAGGGTTTCGGTAAGAAAACATTTGTATTTAATGGTTGTCAGGAATGGAACAGGTTACCAACACATCTTAGGTTCATAGCAAGTCGTGATAATTTTAAAAAATCTCTTAAGGAACATTTTATGCAATCAATATCAGTTTAGTCATTTTAATCTAGTCATCTTACCTAGTTTTTATTTATATATTTTTTTATGTTTAGTGCATATTTTAGTAGTACCTATTCATTGTCAAACATATCTGTCATAATAATTATGATTATAATACATGTGTGATAATTTTTGTGATGGAAATACTTATGTGCAATAACTGATATAAGAAATTGTGATTGAATAATTTATGTGCAATACTTAAAAATTAGTAAATATTTTGCCTTTCTGGTGTCATATGATCAATTCTAAGGACCACAATGGAAATAAGTCGGCTTATGCCTTCTTTTTGTGTCATCCTTGGTATTGAATATATGGCATCAACACATGCACTTTCATGTTTACATGTATCTCTTGATGTTGACATTGAATTTGTAGTTGTTTTATGACATGTCTTTTTTACCAGAATAAAACTATCTATCTATAACCCTAGAAAAGATATAAGTCACAAGACCTGATTTAAACAGTGGATACCTTATCCATTTTACTGCTCACCCAATTACTTATCATTATTATAATATCATATGACACAACATCCGCGGTTACGTTGACAGGTACTCTCCTAACTTTACTACATATGAGGACAAGACTTATAAGGAAAATCTATTTTTAGCCTCAGTGACCTTTGCCCTAATCCATGGAAGGTAAGAAAACACTAAATATTCCAAATCCATGGAAGGTAAAATACCACAAAATATCTAAGTTAAAGTCAATAAATAAATAAATGAAGATGCTTTGAGAAATGGTAAGTGTACGGTAACTGTACCAGTCTGCAGAGTTCAATTGGTTAGAGCGCAAAATCTTGATATTGTGGGTTTGATTCCCTGGCTTGCCAACTAAAATGACTATTAAGTCTTTCGGATGAGACTTCTGAATCAAGGTCCCATGTAGTAATGCATAAACACTTGGCAAACTAAAGAACGAGGAGAAGCTTCTAGAATTGGGGCATCTGTCTGCATCTGTATCTTGCACTATCACTCTTAGTGTGACAGAAGAAAAATAATCAACAGCAACAGAATTTACTAGTATGCTCTATTGAAAATTTTGGGAAGCAAAAAATACTGTTAACAAAAAAGAACATACCAGGAACAGTGTTGTCCAAGATAAATGCACACAATGCGCCGGCAAAATTTGCATTGCCAAAAAACATCTTTAAAAAGTTTTTCAATGCCAGATTTTCTGAAAAAGAGAGCATATTCATTTTACTAAACCCTTGCCACACGAAATTTCTAAAAATGGCAAGCCCATCTTTTGATCAGGACATAACTATACACTATTTTTTAATGAAAATTTCAAAATAAATACTGACAGTGCAGACCATGATAAGATGGGCTTTTTAACAATTCTTTTGTAACAAATTGGTACTAAAGTGGTTGCCTAATAGTTCTCCCTATTGCTCTTTTAGCCATAAAGAGAATTTTTTCAGCCATATAGGAAGAGAAGAAATATACTGTTACTTATTGCTTATATATATAGTGCCAATCGAAGGTCTGGAGACAGTCCCCAAAAATATAATAAAATATATTCTAAACCACAAAACTGGTAAATAGCCCAATTCTGTCACATTTCATATTATATAATCAGTTCAATGAAACGCTTTTCTTTATCTTTCGAAGTTTAGTCTTCTTCAGAAAAAATTTATGTTTATAAAATAACAAATGAAGCAACGTCTGTTTAAATTTGTTTTTTTGGGTTTATTTTTTTTGCATTTTAAATTATTAACTACGATAAGGTAAACATATGGTTTATGGGTGATGTTGAAAAGAAGAGGGCACTGTATAAATTAGTACAATTATAGTAAAAAAACCTTACCTGTCTCTATTATTTCTGGATTATTTTCAATGAAATATGGTACCATGATACCAACAAGTAGTGCTAATCCAAGAATTGCTAAATTTCTTGTGCTTTTCAATGAGATTTCAGTTAAATTGGACAGAATAACACCTGAAATTATAGGAAACAAACAAAACATTTGGAAAGTGTTGAATATTGATATATGTGATTGTGTTAGCTTTCTTTTTGCATGTTCGCCTAAAGTCAACATACTATTACTGACTGATTTACTGTCAAAAAAGTTTTCCTTGTAGCATATTCTAGTGTAAATTTCAAGTATTTTTTTATCAGTTTATGGGCAATAACTCCTGAAATATAAGCCATGTCCAAAATAGAATGAAAAAAAACATAAATATACAGCTTTAGTGATTAATATATTCAACAAAGTTTACTGAACTTTTTCAATGTCAAAAACATTTTTCTGAATTTTCAATCAGTTCAGGAGCAACAACTCTGAAAATACTTAGCATTGAAAATTACACATGCCACATTTAACTATCATGGTAGTTTACATGCATGATGCTTTCCAAATCTTCAGAGAAAAATTTCAATTTAACTCAGGGACATTAAAGAACACACTGACAGACAAGCTGATTCCAGTATATATACTACAAATGACATCTTTAAATATAATAATGCTTCAAAAGTGCACAGACATATCTATAAATGTCATGTAAGAAGTGCACATTTCTACCTTTCAACAAAAACACTAAACAAGACCTGTAGCAGAGCATGCAGAGTTATGGGCCTTGAACAGTGACCTCCTATAGTCCTCTGAACAACAGTGTGTAGTTTCAACCGACTTAATAGTAGTTTTGGAGATACCAACTTGCATGCAAAAAATTAACCAAAGTGTGATGCAGATGCTGGGGTGAGTACAAAATTCTCCCTTTTCTTCAAATAGTTGAGAGAAAAAAAAACACAACTTATATACAAACTGAAAATATTACATCAGTAAATTTATTTATCAGTTCAAAAAAGCAAAATCTAAAATGCAAAAACAAATAAAATGTTTCAAAAAATGGAATGTGTTGCTTTTTAATGAGCATAATCTATCAAAATATCAATCAAAAAACTTAGAATATATATAGAAATGGAAACAAAAGAAAGGTGTGAATATATATGACTGAGGAAAATGTCTTGTGGAAAATTTACGGGAAATTTTACCTATAAATACTGCAGTAATAGACATGAGAGCGCCACCTAGCACCGGTTCTGGTATCATGATGAAAACAGCCGATAATTTACCCAACACACCAATCAACATGTATATAACTCCAACCGCTACAAATACCCAACGACTAGCCACCTAAAACAAGAACAATCATAAATAAAGATATCACTAAACATGATTCATATCCCCATCAGCTATCCATGACTATTTGAAAAATTAGTGGTCTGAAGCCAATTTTAAACTGGACCTATATTTTATGATATTTCATCTGTGTAAGAATAATAATTGCAATTAACTGCCTTGTTAAAAGAGTGTATAATAATTTTGTTAACCATTATTTTTATAAATCAGCATAGATTTCTTATTGATAATTGATTTTAATAAAAGTACAGTATGTAAGATCTATTTCAAGTTATGCCAAGTTATTTTTCAAGGCAAGTATTTGACTAAAAAGTCACACTTCTAGGTAGTAGCTTCATTTGATTGCATTAAATATGATGTAGTACATGACCATTTAGTCTCAAACCCTTAAATTAAGCTGACCAAATTTTGATCATGAGTCTGCAGGTTTGATTTCATTTAAACAAAATAAATGTATCCAAGACAGGTTAAGTACCAACCAAAAGAAGAGGGTATTTAAAATAAGTAAAGAAATTTACTAGATATTTTGGATGTTGGTCAATAAGAAGTTAATACATGGCAGAGGAGGGCTGGAAAGTAAAAATGGCCCCTTAAATGTGTAATTACATCAAGGGTTTCAGTTGGATAACAAACTTATTACGCTTTGTAAAGATTCTTATAATGATAAGTAAAGATTCTTATAATGATAAGTAAAGATTGAATATGAACTCAATTATCCTTTATTATAAAACTGGTTAGAAAATAAATTATTGGCCAAAAACCTTGCCAAATATGGACTTAAAGGATTTAAGAAATTATAAAACAAACCTTAGTGAGTCCCATGGCCCCAATATTTCCGGCATAGGTTGTGGTAGCATGCCCACATCCAATTGTACCAGCCAGGAACGTACAAAGTCCCTCTACAGTGAGCCCGCGGTTCACAGCATGACGTGGGGGTGGAGGTACATGGCAAGCACGTGCACATGCAAAATAATCACCTACTGAATCCAGGATAGAAAGAATGGTTGCTAGGAGACAGCCAACCAAAGCTGTGGAACTGAATCCCATCGCACCAAATTGCCCTGAAATAATAAACTCTTTAGAAAATATTGCCCTTCAATTACACAGGTAGATCAAACTGCCCTTAACAACAACAAGAGTTGTCTGTGGAGTATTGTGCGCTCTACTTTTCTCAGTGCTGCAAAGTATGTTCAAAAAGCAAAGTAGGAAAGTGGGCATAACTCTGAAAATCTGCTGGACAGAATTACCTGCCCTTGAGAGTAAACAAATTTTAAAAGGTAAAGTGAATATCTGTGACCATGAGCTCATTAGTCAATCATTTTTGTTTTTTCATAATACCAGGTATGCCATGTCTAAATTAGATATTAAATTGTTCCTTAAATAATGACATAGCTACACATGTGTAATGCATTCTCAAAATTAAGTAAGTAGTTCCCACGAAATAGCTTGCATGAACTATTCTATTTTTAATAGCACTACTCTTTTTAGATTGTAGCAATACTCTTTTTTTTTCTCAACAGCAATATAATTTCAGTTTTGCTCTTCTTTTCCTTTATCGCATTTCCGCACCTTGGTTATTCTCTTTCTTTCGGACAGTAACAAAAGAATGCAAATCATATCAAAAGTTAAAGGAGCTCCACTGAGGTTAAAAAGCCTGTAGCAAAACTTTGAAATTTTTTACATAGATCAACTAAAGCATTTACAATAGAAAAATCTGCACAGTATTAAAAGAAGTATACTCAGAATTTAACTGAAAATCCATTTTGTGCGATTCTTAGTAAAGCCTTTTAACACATTTCTATTTTTGGTCATTTTGCACAATAAAAATTATCATCTGAAAAAAAACAGGATGATGGAATGATCTGATAATTTGCACACAAGTTATAAGTTCAGACCAACATTAAATGGTATACAAATCAAAAAAATATATTTTCAGACACAGCATATCAAAAAAAAAACTTCAGTGGAGTCCCTTTAAAGAATAAAGAAGCACTGATTTAAACAAACCTGGATATGGGAAGTAAAACCATTCTGCTTTATCCAAGACATCTATTCTAGAATCTGTACGCGTATGGTACCGTGGATTGTTAGGATCGTTTGGTACTAAATCATAGGCAGTAATTATTCCACATGCTATCGTCCCAACTATCATGCCGATGAGAATCTAAAATCACATCATTATAAAAAACATGAATCTCTAAATTCATCATGTGATCAATCATTTTTAAACTATTAATCTCTGAGATCATAATGTGATCAAACATTATCAAAACATTAATCTCTAACATGACCATGTGATAAATCATAATTAAAACACTAATCTCTAAAATAATCTGGTGGTCAATCATAATTAAAACACAAATTCTGAAAATCATCACTTCACCAATCACTTTACTGGTGGAGGAAGACCTCAGGTACCCTTCGGTACATTATTTCAGGCACAAACGGGCACCTGAGTAGAACTACCAACATTCCGTAAGCTAGCTGAATAGCTTTCTCACATGCAGAATCCAACAATGCTGCACAGCTTGAACCTTCTGTGGTCAGAGGCAAGTGGTTTGAAGTCAACGACCTTAACCACTGGTCCATGGATGCCCCGGCTTACCAAATTCAATTTTCAACTCGATATCCCAAAAATTGATAATGAACAGTTCCAAAATGGAAACTGGAGAAGTCAATTTAAGAAGCTTGATAAAGGCTAAACATAGGACTGGTGTACATTTTAAACACTAGCACTTCTTACTACATTTTTTTCCTTTCATGGCAGTAAAACAAAAGAGAAATTATTAACTTGTATCTCACATACTTACAGCAAACACTTGATGAAACGGGTACCATATTATGCGAAATCCCTTTTTCCTTGAGCACGCGGGAATAGGTGTCTTCTTACGACCCAAGTATAGAGACAGAAATAGTGTAACGCTGGCTGTTCTGAAGATAGACAAGGCATACGCGTAAGCTAACTTCAGGAAAAAAATAACTTCATTCATAACAGCGAAACTATGTCATTGAAAGAAAACAGTTTCATTGTTAAAATTTAATGTGCCTAATTGCCATTATTTTAAGAACACAACTGATCTGGCACTTTTACCCACATGCTAGATGAAATTAAATGAATCCAGCATGAATAAAATTAACGGAAACACAAGTCAGAGGAGATTTTTGTTGGTTGTTTTTGTTCTTGTCTTAAAAAGCACAAATTGTGACAGTCACTGTAAAAAGAACATGTACTTACATAACTGCAACTATCCAATGTATTATTACAAACTTTGCAGTTGCTTTAATCATGTACAACCCGATTAGCAGAACAGCCGGAATGATTGTCATTGGACCGATAAATCTCAGTAGCACGCCAACGATTCCTGTCGCTCCGACAAATGTGTGAATAGCACCGGCAATCATAAGGGATCCCTGTAACTGTAAGGAAAATCTGAATTAATAGAAAAGGCGACGGGGTGAACAACATTGCCCGAACACTGGGTTGAACTGCATCATTCGTGATCAATCTTAAATATAAGGAACACTTACCTATACATGCGTAATTTTAAGGAACACCTACCAGTACATAACTTTAATAAGAGCCATCCGATTAGCTCAATAGGTAGAGTGTTTGACTAAGAATTGGGCAACCCAGATCAGATTCCAAGACAGTGCAGGTCACTTTCGATGTGATTGATCATGAAATATTTTAATTCACACTGCTTGTACCTCTGCTCTTGTATGTACAGAAGTTATCAGGCAACTAGCACTGCTTGTCTGTTGAAAGGTGGCTGAACTGTGATCTGGTAAGTTCAATGTGGCTTACTGCCATGATTCAAAGTGAAACTTAACAACATCACTACCAAATAACTTTTAAACTATTGCAGTAATACATTTTGTTTGGGGAAAATTCCTTTAAATTGTGTAAATTCAGTAAATTCCAGACCAAAGTTATATAGATAAATTAAAATTATCGTGGAAATGCCAACACTATAACAGAATCCGTTTTAATATTTTGCCTAAACGTGTAGAAAGTGTTGTTCGAAGATAAGTTTCAATGAGTAAAATTTAATTGAATTAAAAAATTACATAAATATATTTTGATGTAAAAGTTTCCCAATAATTATAATCTTTGCCATTAATATAATTATTAATGTATATTAATTCAATTAAAGTTATTGAATTCTTGTTCTTTTTCATTTAAATCATTCAGAGAGTGTGCTATTAAACATTTTTCATTATTTCATAATTTTTCATTATTTTCATAAAATTCAGATCTAAAAAATAAATAAATAACTTAATTAAATTACTTTCTTTCACTGTACATATGACTTTATTTTTACAGAATGGTTTTCTTACCGATGTTACAGCATTAAGAATGATGTCACGGCCTTCATCTGATGTCACATTTGCTGTCACATTCAAAGCAGCAGTTGCCTCCCCTTAAACAAACAAAAAAACAAAAACATGTTAACCTTTAACCTGCTGTATTTCTGAAATGGACTTGTCCAGCTTCCATTTTAGGAACAGTCCATTATCAATTTTAAGTGATATCAAGATAGAAATAAAAGTAAGTCAGCTGACAATACAGAGCCTAGTCAGACAGCATGTTGGCCTATCTGTAAGTTGGCCTATCTGTAATTTGGCCCATCTGTAATTTTTTCCTTGTTGTATCCTTGACACCTTGCTAGAATATGTAATCATTTTTTTGTCACGGTTCAGAACTGTTAACTATTTAGGGGAGAGGATGTGTAAGTGGCCAGATAGCACAGTCGGTAGAGCCACTGTATGGTATTTAGAGTGTCCCGGTTTCACGTCCCGGTCAGGCTGAACATTTTTCTCACCCTGTGAAAATTAAAAAGGGGGATGAATAGTCGAGCAAAAAATGCTCAAGAAAAAAAGTTAAGAACAGAATTGAATTCAGACATTTTTTGATTGAGCGACTGGGCTGAACTATCTGTCTAACTAAGTAGACAGTGCATGATAACATCCTGCTTAGAGTATTTAGGGCCCTTTTTTTTTAGCTATCCAAATATCAGCTAAAGCTGCACGAGTGTAGACCCAAATAAGCATTGCAGTAATAAATGCACATCTGTGCCTAATTGCTGGTTCATTTCTAAAATTTAGCAAAATTGAATATGTTTATAACCATATTATTTTGGTAAGTTAACAGCTGTTATTATGAACTCGGCAAATGCTAGTTTTCCAATTTAATCCCAGGGTCCAAACAAACTTTTACCATTTGAGCTTCACAAGGCACTACTGTTCACAAGGGTCTGATCAACACCAATTGCTTTGCATTAGTTTATTTACCAAGTTTTTACAATAAAAGTTTGTTTGTACCCATGCATTAGATCGGAAAACCTCACATTTACTTAATTCCAGAGTACATGTATCTCTGTTAAGCAAAATTGCCTGACCCTTCTTCTAAATAGACCCATATAACTACCACCCTAAACCTCACACCCTACCACACTATCTAACTTAAAGTAATGAATAATGTATCAATACCAGATGCAACATCTGTTAGAACTACTGTATAAGTGGATATTTCAGCATGTAGAAAATATAGCGAATTTCAAATTCCAGACATTTCACATGTGGAAATATTAGCAAATCACCGATCTCGAAGTAGCGTTAAAGCTGAAAACAGGTTGGAGGGTTTTAATATTCTGTGCCCGAAGAAATTTTAGCCATTTTCGTCAAGTCACGAAATTAGCCAATATTTCTGAGGTGCTAATTTAACCACTTATACAGTATTAATATTTTAAACATGTTACATTTACACTGAAGACAATAACATTTAACATCTTGATGATCTGATCACACTGATTATAGCAATGATAATAATGTCAACTAATACAGCATAAATTTTCTTTTGATCTAGACACATTACAATTCTGATGTCAACAGCTTGAAAGAATGCCAATAATGGGTGTCCGAACAATATATATTTGTATGTACTTTTGTTTTCATTGCTATTGAGGGATATTCCCCATTTCATTCTCTCTCCCATACTTCCTTGGAATTGCAAGGACATTTGGATTACCAAATCACCTACTTGTGAAGAACAAAATACAACTTGAACAAAGCAGAAAGGTATAAGAGTTCGTTAAAATTATGTTTTTGAAAAACTGTGTGGCATTGTTTTAGGGCTTATAAAACAAGCAAATGTCATAAACCAGAACAAGAACTTTCATTAAGTTTAATAGTTTTTTCACCTTTCGATACATATGCCTGAAATCTTGCATTTTTGTTAAAGAATGTCTGTAAATCTTAAAGGGACTCCACTGAGGTTTTTTGACATGATGGGGCTGAAAATATTTTTTCCAGATAAATGTACCATTTGATGTAGGTTTAGACCACTAATCTTTGTGCAAAATTTCATATCATTCGCGCACTTCATGTGTCCAGAATAATTATTCAAATTGTAAAAAAATTGACCTAAGATGAAAAGCGTTTCAACGCTTTTCACTCAAATCGGGCTGAAAAATCATAAAAATACGATTTTCAATTTATTTCAAAGTTAATTTCTTAACTATCTTTGCATATATTTCTGTTTAAAGTGCACCAGCTCATTTATGTAAGAAGTTCAAATGTTATGTTTTTAGGATTTTCAACCTCAGTGGAGTCCCTTTAATATCAAATAGGCGAATTGGACAAAAAGTATCAGTTTCTCTGATTGATTAGAATTAAAATTAGGGAGGGGTTGATTTCAAATGACAATTATCAGAAGCATGTGTGAGCTGACTACCTGTGTCACATTGAGAGCCCATTAGCTTGTCAATGTTAGGATGTAAGATGGTATTCCATTTTTTTAAGTTAGTATTCTAGTACATGTAGGGCTTTAACGATTTTTGGCAGATTTTGATATAGATGTATATGTTGATGAAGATGATCCCATAGATGATCAATAAGGTTCAAAGCAGGCTTTTTAGAAGGTCCATTGCTCTCTGTCATGGTGATGGTGGAATACATGTCAACACCAAAACACTGTACTGGTAGTGCCCATGTTAACCATTCCCTGCTAAATGATTCTACACTGTCTGGAGAGAAATCCTGTCAATATGAGTACAGAGGGGTAACAGCATTCGCTCAGAAGTGATCTTGTAGAGTGGAAGGACTGGTAAAGTCAACAACCTTAAGACTTATGTTTTAAGTTCAAAAAGGTTTATTTTGATTTTGAAATGCTCTGAAATAATCTGGTGCATTTACAAGTGATTTTATACACTTATAACTATAAATAGTAACCAAACCTCTAACCATGATATCGACTGATTATGAGTGTCACATGACCAACTATACGTTTGATGGAAAGACATTAGCATAACTGGCCCACTGAACATTTAAAATTTAAATATAAGTATATTTCTTTATTATGATAATTTTTTTTCCATATTTATTCAGTTTTAAAGGGACACTGCTGAGTATTTTTGACTTGACAGGAGTGGAAGCAAGATTAATGTTCCATTTGATGTAGGTATATGCCAATAACTTGTGTGTGAAATTTCAGATCATTCACTCACTCTGTGTTTTATAGAATAATTATTCTAATTTTGAAAATGAAGAGTTACAATGCTTTTCACTTAAATCAGGCTAAAAATAACACAAAACTACAATTTTCAATTAATTTCTGAGTATATTTCTTAATTAGCTCTTGCATATTTTTTCTATGTGCTCGAGCTGATCTATACTAAGACTATGTAACAAATTCAAATCTTATGTTTTAAGCTTTTGGACCTCAGTGAAGTTTCTTTTAGTGCCTAAGTTGATTTTTGTAAAAAGAAATTAAAGTTTATGTTTTTAGGCTTTTGAATCAGAGAGTTGAGCTCCATAAATATATTTAAATATTCCAGTTTGATATGATATTTGATACCATGTGATTGCAACAAGTACATTTCTAGTGTGACCATAAAAAAAGCTTTTTTTTTTTTTTGCTTTTCCTCTTTTTTTTAAAGAAGCTATCCTTTTATAAAATGCAACATTTTTGTTTCCAATGTTTAATGCATATACATACATGTATATATAACGTACACGGAAGACAATCATGTTAGTTGGTAATTTATGGTTGCTCATACAAAATTTATGTTTGTACACTTCAGTCTGATTTATGATAGAAGATGAAGATTTATTGCCAACAAGCTGCTTTAAAATGTAATCCCATTGCTTTTTATAGCTTTATACAACCAAATATCTAAAAATAGACAGTGCTTTATTTTACCATGGTCATATATTTAGATATTATGTTACTGGTGTAGTTAAAATGCACAAACTACGGGCTCAAGAGAAAGCACTTCTAGTATGTCTCTGAAAGGCACACCTCCAGAAAACACAGATATTGTTTTAAGGAAGGAAAATTTGCCAACATATGAATTAAAATGACTCCACTGAGGTTTAAAAGCCTAAAAACATAACATTTGAATTTCTTACATCAATATGCTGGGGCACTTGAGCTGGGGCACTTTAAACAGAACTGTATGCAAAGAAAGTTAAGAAATATACTTTGAAATAAATTGAAAATCGTATTTTTATGCTTTTCTTTGCCCGAATTTAGTGAAAAATGTTAACGCTTTTCATTTTGGGTCATTTTTTTACAATTTGAATAATTATTCTGGAAAAATGAAGTGTGCGAATAATCTGAAATTAAGCACAAAGATTAGTGGTCTTAACCTAATACAAAATGTAAATTAATCTGTAAAAAATATTTTCAGTCATTTTCATGTCAAAAAACCTCAGTGGAGTCCCTTTAAGTGATTTTTAAACCTAGCCAAAGACACTTATTATCTACAGATTTCACCAAAAACTACGCAGGCATTTCACTTACTTTATTGCTAACAGGGGAGACTTTAGGAAATTGAAGTAGAATTTTGGTGATTAAAATAGTATTTTGGTGATTAAAGTAAAGATTTTGTGATTAAAGTAAAGTTTTGGTGATTAAAGTAGAATTTCGGTGATTAAAATAGAATTTCGGTGATTAAAGTAGTTTATTCTGTCACATGTTGCAAACATTCAAACTTTCCCATATATATTCAATATCTATGCATTTTCTAAACTACATAGATTATACATTTCTGTATATTTTAAGTTTGATTGCATAAAAAAATTGTTTCACTCATCTATAGAGGCATGTTCCTTTAAAGCTAACACTCAGGTAGACTGAAAATGACTGATTACAATGCTTTTAACTTCATGTACAACAGAAAGCTTTCATCATTCATTTATAAATAATATTACTACAATATAATTAACTATACCTGAGGCAGGAACAGTGGTACAGAAAGTTGAATCCACAGTGCCTAGCAACAGAAGTGGGGACAGGTACTCTATAGCTGCCCCCTGGAACAACGGTAACCTGAAATTCAACAGAAATGTGTATTTTATTTCAAAATTTATAATTACATATTGTTTTGAGAATTTTTTATTAAAGATTGAGCATGAAATTGAAAGAAAATTTGATAAACTTTTGATTATAACTTAAAAGACAAAACAATATTAATATAGACATGTTTTGAATTTTTATGATGCTATGCGTTTATGAGCAATAGATATTAGAGTGTGGCTTAACCAACATAAACTATAACAAGCCCATAAAGTCTAATATATATGACTAGTATTGTATAATAACCGGGTGTTGGATAGTAATTTTGTTCTTGCAAGTCATCAGGGGTCTTATTCTATGCCAATTTTACAATTTTTGACAAGGCAAATGAGCCAACTACCTGTGCTTATTTGGGGTAAGTCTACCGTCCTTGATTTATTGTAGATTAAACCTCCTCGATTAGCACTATCTAACCTTAAGTTTTAAAAGAAACAAAACAAGAGGGGGTTTTATTTGAACAAACTTGGTAGAACTAGAAGATGTTTCATGCTCTATATCTAAGCCCTAGTTATTTAGATTTTTTTTTTTAAATTCAATTTATCCTTACATACATATAAGGAAAATCAATGACCCCAAGGGCGGGGCCAATTTTGACCCCAGGGCTTTTACTTTCACAAACTTAGTAGACAGTCACTAGAAGATGTTTCATGCCAAATATCTAATCTGAAGCTCTTTGAGGTTTTTAAAAGATGATTTTTAAAGTTTGTTTTTTCTTTCGGCTGTCATGGCAACCAGAGTTTTACATGGAATTAAATTTGTTGAACATTTTTAAAAGTAACCAACAAAGGAACATTCCTGTGAAGTTTATATGAAATTGGCTGAGTGGTATATGAGGAGATTAAAGCATTTAAAGCACAGGTATAATCTTACAATGTATATTTAGCTCCATGTTTAAAGGGATATTCAGGCAAAATAATGACAAAATATTAAACAGATCTATGTACTCAAATCAGGCTAAGTTGACGTTTCTTGAAGTTTCAGCATAAATTCTGTTTGAATTTTATATATTTTGGGTTTGAAACGTAAAAATATCTATATAATTATGTTGAACAAAATTTAGACGCCAATAAAATCACCAAATAGTTTTAAAACAAGTCAGGTGACTTGAACCAAGCCTTTAAGTTACAATAACAGATATTTTGGATATTGTATGATTGAAACAAGTCTATGTCATTCATTTGAAATGTTCTTTAACGTTTCCAGAGTTCACTTTGACAAATATTGCGAAATCATAGCGATCTAACCTGACCCACGCGGGTCAAGTTAGGAAACCACCATTTTATTCTTTATATGGAAAAAAGTTTTGTTCCATTGACTGTCTAATATATTTATTTTAAGGGCATGTGCAGAATAATGAATGAAAATTTCAAAACTAAGAAATGAAAATTTTGCCTGTGTCTCCAAGTTTACGGACGGACGCCTGTCGAATTGTGATCACAAGAGACTCTTACGGTGCAAAACCAAAGTAAGAACTCACCTGACCCCTATAGTGACCATGAGCAAAGTTGTAAGTCCCGTCATAAACAACGTAGAACTCAATAGCCTCGCTTTGAACTCGCTGTCGTTTGAAGCACATACCACTTCCGCAACCAAAAGTGACACGACTAACTGATGAGCTATTGAGATTATTGCTTGCTATAAAATAGGAAAAAATAATCTGTATGAAAATGATGAATATTATATGTTATTGTTACCTACTTAAGTGAAAACTAGAACTGTGTCCAAAGGACACGGATGCCCCCACTGACATATATAATTATGGTATATAGTGAAAAAAATCAACAAAGGGCCATAATTCTGTTAAATTTGGTCGCAGCAAAAATTCCTTCCTTTACTTCCATCTACACATTAAGGTTGTTCCTCCCTGGAAGTTAAGCAAAATCTGCCATCCGGTTTAAGAGGAGTTGCGTTCACAAGATTTCGGGACGTACGGACAGACGTACGGACGGACAAGTGCAACGCTATATGCCCCTCACTTTGTGGGGGCATAAAAATCACCGATTAAGCTGTACATCAAAATGAATGGGGGTTATATTCGTTAAGCAATCGATCTTAAATACATCCATACACGTTAGTAATTACTGTCATAATAATGATTCACCCAATTTCAACAAGAACGGTTTTGAAATATAATATATATGTAAAAGAGACTGTACATATTATGTGTAATAGCTATTTTACCTTAAAGAATACTCCGTCAGCTTAAAAGTCTTTAGTTAAAGTTGCGGCTGACAAGTTTTATATTGTACAAATCACACAACGCACGAAAATTCGGAATGGACATATACACGAGTGTTAAAAAGAAAACACGCCAGTTCAAGGAAATTTTAAGACAGGTTAAAGCCTTTTACAGCAAAATTGTCCTCCACTGCTTAAACATTCAGACATATATACTTTTAGTGCTCATGCATTAAGTCCATCACTCAAGCATATATGTAACATGTACTTCTATTATTGACCTCCTGCGCTCAAACAAAAGTCTTCATTTATTGGCAATGCTAAATCCCCACCAACGCCCAGCAATATGCCTTGTATTAATTCCCCTTAAGATATACGTATTATACTTATAATTACTACCAATCCGCCACTCCACAATAACCCTGCAACGGCAAGTGCCTATCGTTAATGTCTGTAATCTACGGCACAGAACTATAATTCTTTTCCCCAACAATATAGTCCAGAACTGTAATTATAATAATGTATTTTCCCCCACCCTTCCCTCCTCCCAATCCGCCTTTGCTACGGCATATGCATCCCCTTTACTACGGCATATGCCTATCATTATTGCGCCTATGCTCCGGGTAAATACTCTTTATTATTGCCCCTTTCTCATTTGTTAAGATAAGTTAAAGACGTACCTGAAACCCAAAAAGAAGTATGAGATGGACAGGTGGTCTGTCACTGATTTTATACACGAGCGGATGGTCTACTTCATCATCAGAATCTTCCACTGTCCTTATTTGTTCCAAACACGGAACAGCTGCGCCTGCACATTGGCTGTTCCCGTTTTCAAGCGGCCCTTTGTGGCGCCCCATTCCCTGAATAGGCGCGAATTCCAGTTCTTCCTGAAAATCACAATCAACATTCCGTCTCTTATATCTGGACATATTTACATCTACAGGCTATGAGAAGAAAACTGACGCTTTCAGAATGATGAACCAACCAGATAAGTCATTTATAGTGTTAATATGCCTTATCAAAATAGGTTAAATTTAATACCATGTATCAAAAACAGAATAATGATAGCAGCAGTCAATTTTAAAGCATTGAACTATCATTTTAAACTGCCACCTGTTGTATTTCAAGTGGTACTCGAATCCTGCGTAAACAAACTATTGTATCAGCTATAGTGGACACGGTTACCCGGTTTGAGAACGGAAGGTTATCTAGCGCGAGGGTTATCTAACATGAGTGATTCACAAAAACAAAACCTTAGCCAACCACACGAAACCATAGTTTGAAGGTCATCCAAGGCCATAGGCACCTTGCTTCAGCCGTTATATTGAAGTTTTGCAACCAAGTGCCTTTGACCCCGACGCAACGACACGTTTTTGGACTTAACTTAAGGCAAATCCTCTAAAAAATTAAAGCATGAAAAAATGAAACATTTCAACAGATATGGGCAAAGTTTACAAAGGATGGTCAAAATTTCCGCCGAATATAAATCCTGAGATTTCGAGTTCAACACTGACAGGGCTGATACAACAACTCAAAAGTCAAGCAAAGTTCCCGTGAGTCGCAAGTTTTATGAATAAAAAAAGAGCGCTTCTTACGAAACAGGAAGTCCATCGTAAATTTATAAACAAAAAAAGATCAAAATATTATCAAAAAACGCTTGTGACAAGATTTCAGTGACGACATTTTGTAATTCAGTACTGATTAAGCCTTTGAATAAGAAGTGTCTTTAAAAAGATACTCGGCCGAAGTCAAACTTGCTAACCGCAAACAGATGCGTTTATTGAAGGTCGCCGCCGAAGCCCATATGGGCGACCGTACACTCAAGTCGGGCCATCCTAGAGCGTCCCGCCGAGATTTTCTTCGTCGATTTTTTTCCCAGCTTTATTGGTGGAGGAAACCCCCAGTTTACTTTCCGGATTACAGGATGACAGCAGTAATCCACTTTGAACTTCACAAGCGCACAGTCAAGCAACCGCATCGTTCCTAGAAGTTAACCAGTACCAGTTGCCTTCACGTTCGCAAGAAACCGATCACTTTAGTACATCATGTACAGTGCAAATTACCCTAGAAAGGAGTTCATGGTCAAACGCAGTGAAAATGACCTGTACTGTCCGTGAATCGAACCCGGATCGCCCCATACACAGTCCAACGCTGTACCTATAGAGCTAATCGGACGGTGAGTACACTTATCTAGTCGGACAAGCCTCATACATACAAAGTTAAATTTCAAATTAGCGTCACCTTATTTTTATTATTTTAAGTAGTTTTGTTGTTGATCGGATATGTACAAAAGCGTGTAATGGGACGCTCTTTTGAATATCTAGAGCGATGTCTAATACAGTGACAAAGAAATCTCAATAGCGAGATACGCTATGTCACTTGAATTCATTTAAACTTTACAAAAACTTTTCAAATCTGTAAACAGGTTATCAATTTTAAGAAACAGAAGTATATCGTCTTCAATCTCCCTATTTACATAGATAAAATTACGATGAAAATTTAACTTACCCTTACAAATCTGATATCCATGTAAACATATTTTGATTTATTCGGGGCACGTATACATCTTAAAATTTTAATCAGAATAATGCAATACATCAATTAATTTGTTTCTAATCTAGGTCGTATTTCTTGCTTTGCTTTTGTGTTAGTTGTTATGTCCTTTATTTAAGTTTTGCTCCTATATTAGGGTTTAACTCGTATATTAAGGTTTAGCTCCTATATTGCCATTTAACTTTAACTCCTATATTAGGGTCTAACTCGTATATTATGTTTTACTCCTATATTAGGGTTTAACTCCTATACTAGGTTTTACTCCTATACTAGGGTTTTACTCCTATATAATTTTTCGACTCCTATATTTCAGTTTAACTCCTATATTTCAGTTTAACTCCTATATTATGTTTTACTCCTATATTAGGGTTTTACTCCTATATTAGGTTTTACTCCTATACTAGGGTTTTACTCCTATATCATTTTTCGACTCCTATATTTCAGTTTAACTCCTATATTACGGTTTTACTCCTATATTAGGGTTTAACTCTTATATTATTGTTTGACTCCTATATTTCAGTTTAACTCCTATATTTCAGTTTAACTCCTATATTATGTTTTACTCCTATATTAGGGTTTTACTCCTATATTAGGTTTTACTCCTATACTAGGGTTTTACTCCTATATCATTTTTCGACTCCTATATTTCAGTTTAACTCCTATATTACGGTTTTACTCCTATATTAGGGTTTAACTCTTATATTATTGTTTGACTCCTATATTTCAGTTTAACTCCTATATTAGGGTTTAACTCCTATATTAGGTTTGACTTCTATATTAGGTTTAACTCCTATATCAGGTTTTACTCCTATATTAGGGTTTAACTCTTATATTATTGTTCGACTCCTATATTTCATTTTAACTCCTATATTTCAGTTTAACTCCTATATTATGTTTTACTCCTATATTAGGGTTTAACTCCTATATAAGGTTTTACTCCTACAATAGGGTCTAACTAATATATATTTCGGTTTAAATACGTATAAGGGTTTAACTCCTATATAAGTGTTCAGCTGGTATTTTATGGTTAAGAGATTTAGTCCTCTTTCTGATACACGTATGGGTTTTAGCTCCTGGTTGTACGGTTTTGCTGCTATCCTTCCAGGACTAAGCTATCGTTTTTGGGTTTAGTTTCCGTTGTTTTTTTTCTTGTTGTTGTTGTTTTGTTTTCACTGATGTTCCTCTTTTAACGCGTTCATGTTATTTCTATTAATTGAAAATGGCGTTTATTCTCTGAAAGTAACAATTAGATTCCAAATTTATAAGCATCTGAGATAGAATGCTCTAAAAAATAAACTTTACACCAATAGAAATAAATGAATAAATGTCCATCAATAGGAATAAATGACACATCCACGGGTCTTGAATTCATTTCGCCATAACCGCCAAATAAAAGTGGGCTCGGCGGAATGGGTAATACTTACCAAAAGAAAACCAATAGAAAAAAAAGAAAATACGCTGAATAATGCAATGTTGCAAATGGTACAAAACATTCTTTTAAGAGAAACTAATGACATAATGAATCAAACGCAACATAGATTACGAAAAAGCAAACCTATAAAGCAGAAATAAATTTTATCACCGCTATTAAACTTGCCCTTAATTTATGATTTAAATGAATTGTTGCGTTACATAATGAAACCAGCATGCCAACATAGAAATATTACTTTGTACTTACAACACGTTTTGAAATACTCCGAAGCTCTGCCATGTTTTTTTCTTCCTGACAAGATTTGATTTACACAGAAAACTTCAACACCTTATGTCTTAAGTGTTTCGGTTACTACTGAGATCATAGGTACGCTTACCGCTTACATGCTTATTGAGATAAATAAGTTTACCTTATTTAAATATTTCCAAGGGCACTGTCAAAAAAACTGTGTTATTCAGTAAGACACCCACACACGCTCTCCCTCTTTTTCTATATATATATATACATCAATTTAGTTTTCGTTATTCTTTTATGTTGGCAGATTAACACAATTACACGCTTGTGTCAAATATAATTAAGAACGCATGTCAACCCTATTTTAAAACATCATCCTGTATGTTTAAATTTATAACCAAAACACACATCATATCGCAGGCTAAGTTATAACATGTAGAAAACAGCATTTTTTTTTATCAAATTAAATACGACTGTTAGAAAGAGACAAATGCAACATTCAAATTGTACTCATTTCACATCGTTTCTATCCATAACTTAATGAATGGTAAGACATCGAAAAATTCTTATAATGAATTATCTTTACATGACAGATGGTCGCTTAAATGACAACTGAATGTTCTGAAATAATTAATTTTGAAGAAAACACACCAAAGTCCCATCAAACAGAAATGTCGGGGTATTCAGTAAGTGGTCAGTGAAGTGTCCAGGTTGTCCAACTTTAAGTTAGTCCAGTTTTATCAAGTCCGACTTCAGCTAGCGGTCAGTGAGTGTCCATATAATGTACAGTTTGACCTCGACATTCACAGTTGCTGTTGTTAACGATGGTCAGTAAGTACATTGTCAGAGGTATTCTCGTTGACACGTAACGAGGATGTGCATTTAACTGTTTGAGTTTGAGGCTAGACTATTGAAGTACAGATGCACATGTCCTGAAATATTGCCCCCATTACGTCTGTATACACCAACAAGTATTACCCAGAAAATGAAGTTAATGAAGTATAAATTTCGGTTACTATTAAAACTAGTCAAATCTTTATTTTATTTTACGGGTACAATATAATTGTCACTCGTTCTCCTGTTTATATGTATATTTTTCTGTGTTCCGGTTGTTATATGTTCTCAATTTTGTATTTTATGTCACATGTTCTTATGAACCATGACAGTATTGAATAAATCTTGAAATCTTGAAAAATCTAGGAATCACAGTTCAGACGAGTATTCGGAAAATATTGTTTTATGAAAAATACTCCTTTCTGAACAATAGAGTCCGTGTTTCTTCTTGGTTACACTTTTTTTATCCAAGTGTTGCCTTAACCTTTGAGCTGTTGTCTGACCATCAACGAACGAAAACTAAAATTTTCTTTTTAAATTAAGTGTGACCTTGACCTTTAACCAACAAATCTTGGTTTTCCATGCGACAACGCCTCAATGTGCAACACATTTATGCATACTTCTTTCGAAATCCTTTAATGAATAACAATGTTATGCAAACCATAACCATCTTTTCACAATCATAACCATGACTTTTGACCTTAACCTTTGACATAATTCTTGCGCGCGACACGCAATCTTAATGCGCAATATATTTATCTAAATTTATTTTAAAATCCAACCATGAATTACAGACCTACTGCACTATTATCACAAAAATTCCTTTAAAGATAAGAGTGAACTTGACTTTAAGCTAAACTTTGGGTCTTACTTGCCATGTCATGACTCATGTCATTGACGGGTACCTGAATCATGCGTGCGACGCGTCATCTTGTCCAACAAATTCATGCCAAGTCATTTTAAAACTCAAGGAATGGCGAAATTGTTGATCGGAAACGGCCATCGATCCACTTGAATGAAGGTTTTGGACAATGTGCCACGTTCGTATGCGATTTTTTTTTCAAAATCCATCAATAAATGACTAAGTTATTGGCCGGACACGACCATCTATCTTTTCATAAAATCCATGATCCATGAATTGCAGTCATGAATCGGACAAAAACAATTATAGGACGTTGTCACTTGTTGACGTCATGGGTTTATTAATTTGACCTTTGGACAATTCTACAGCCCCCCCAGAGCAACATTTTTTGTCATTTCAGTAGTAATTTTAGACCATAAGAAGTGCATACACTTATTTCAGACGCG